TACATATTTATTTAGATGCATTAAGAATAACAGAGGCCTGTTAAAGTAGTGTATTTAGATGTCACTTCTATACGCAGTTACATAGACATTAATCTTAGGAAACTAGTCCATGTTCTATTTGTATAAATGAATGGCCTTAATAAATTCCCAAGTAGAGATACCACCTAGTGGTAAAAAATGCTGGCGTTTCTCATTCACACAGTGCGTGTTGAAAACTCAATGTTAAAAGGAATGCGTGTAGCTGAAGCCATGTCAGTCTCAGGATACTAGAAAGACAAAGTAGGTGAGGTAATATCATTTATTGGACCAAATTTTGTTAGTGAGAAAGACAAACTTTCAAGTCACATGGAGCTATTCTTCAGGTCTGCAAATGTTACCCGTACAAAATTCTCTATTACACACACTCTAGGACACCCGCCCTTACCTAGTTCCTCGGGCTCAAGGCGTAACCCGGTTGATTTAGGCACTCCCACCCTTTCCCAGTTCCTAGAGCTCCAGGCAAAAGGCATCTAACTTTATCCCTCCGTGGGCTCTGGGCTCTACTCCTCCATGGGCTCCAGGTAAACACCCATTCCCTGTGGACTTAATCTTTTGGGGATTTACGGGTGAAGGAGACTTACACAGTAATATCCTACTTAACCTCTATTTATTAACCATCACCAAAACAGAATGCACATGCTAAGCACACAATGCTCACCACTCCCAATAAGGCAGATGCACTTTTCCTGCTGGCCAGTCAGGATCAGGTAATCTTGAGGTCTGGCACCTCTGATCTTGGGGCTGTGTCCTGGAGTTGGTTTCAAAGAACTTCCTTTTGGGCCTCAGTTTATATAGTGAAACTTGAGTCTTGCTTAGCTGTACCTTAACCAATCATTTTACTAAAATATTACTAAACAATTTTTAACCAATTCTAACATACTGTAAAACAATTATTTAACCAATCATACCCCACCACCCTAATTGATTTATACCTAGCTAAATTAATTATGTAACAGACAGAAACAATCAAAGAACCAGACAGAGACCATCCAGATAAACAATAGAGAAGTGGGGACCACAAAGATAAAACAATAAAGAAGTGGGGATTTCACAACCCCCACTACTAGTGATTTCTTGCCATACAGAATGCTATCAAGCCATACAGAATGCTATCAAACTAAGTTTTCTTTAACCATCTTAAGATTTGTTCCTTTCTCTGGTAATGGTGGGTGCTATTAGGATCACCTTCTTAACAGCCGATATTACATTGTTTTAATGCAGGGGTTCTCAAACTGGGGGTCGGGACCTCTCAGGGGGTCGTGAGGTTATTACATGAGGGGTCATGAGCTGTCAGCCTCCATCCCATACCCCGCTTTGCCTCCAGCATTTATAATGGTGTTAAATGTATTTTAAAGTATTTTTAATTTGTAAGCGGGGTACTTTTGTACTCAAACTTTTGTACTGGTGACCCCTTTCACATATCAAACCTCGCACTCAGGTTTGATATGTGAAAGGGGTCACCAGTACAAAAGTTTGAGTACCACTGTTTTAATGTAATTTTAGATGGAATTTGAGGATGTGACTTTCTGCTGCTTAGCTATTGGCTGCTGCTGTCCTAATATGGCTGCAGACAAAGGCCTTAGGCCTTACAATATGGCTACAGGAAAAGGCCTTATCCTTACAGGAAAGGAACTCCCAGCATGACAGCTAAATGCAAGATGGAACAGATTGTTTAGCATAAGTAGCTAGCACATATTTTAATTGCCATAAATATAAAGGGAAGGGTAACCACCTTTCTGTATACGGTGCTATAAAATCCCTCCTGGCCAGAGGCAACATCCTGTTACCTTTAAAGGGTTAAGATGCTCAGCTAACCTGGCTGGCACCTGACCTAAAGGACCAATAAAGGAACAAGATACTTTCAAATCTTGGGGCGGGAAGGCTTTTGTTTGTGCTCTTTGTTTACGTGTTTGTTCTCTCTTGGGACTGAGAGAGGCCAGACAGAAATCCATCTTCTCCAACCCATCCTAATCCAAGTCTCCAACATAGCAACCAGTATAGGTTAACCAGGCAAGGCGGATTAGTTTATCTTTTGTTTTATGTGAATTTTCTCCGTGTTAAGAGGGAGGTTTATTCCTGTTTTCTGTAACTTTAAGGTTTTGCCCAGAGGGAGATCCTCTGTGTTTTGAATCTGAATACCCTGTAAAGTATTTTCCATCCTGATTTTACAGAGGTGATTCTTTTACCTTTTCTTTAATTAAATTTTTTCTTTTAAGAACCTGATCTATTTTTCTTTGTTCTTAAGATCCAAGGGTTTGGGTCTGTGTTCACCTGTACAAATTGGTGAGCATTATTATCAAGCCTTCTCCAGGAAAGGGGGTGTAGGGTTTGGGGGCATATTTTGCGGAAAGATGTCGCCAAGTGGCTTCTTTCCCTGTTCTTTGTTTAAAATGCTTGGTAGTGGCAGTATACTGTTCAAGGACAAGCCAAAGTTTGTACTTTGGGGAAGTTTTTAACCTAAGCTAGTAAGAATAAGCTTAGGGGGTCTTTCATGCGGGTCCCCACATCTGCACCTTAGAGTTCAGAGTGGGGAAGGAACCTTGACAGTAATGTAAGGGATCATTCAAGGTGAAGTGACCAGTTAACACCCCTGCAGTCACAAGACAAAAAGAGGGGTTTAGTTGGGTTACAGATTGTTTTAATAAGCTATAAATCCAATGTGTCTGTTCAGTCTGTGATTTTTATTGTCTAACAGAGTTATGAATTTAAGCTCCCACGCTGATCTTTTGAATGTGTTGTGCAGGTTTTCTTTGAGGATGCGGATTGATATAGAGTGATGGCTTTGTGAAAAGTGTTCACCCACAGGTGATAGGGTGTATTTGTCTTTTATATTTTCCGGTGTGAGTTAAATTTGAGAGCATAGTGATTGGTTTTACATAGTTGTTATTGGGGCACTTAGTGCACTGGATGAGATCTACACATGCCTGTCACAACATGTAGTATGATCCACAGATCTTGAAGGGTGTGTTGTGGGGGTTGTTGATCATTGTAGCAGTGAAGATATGTCTGCAGGTGTTGTATCTGTTCTGGCAGGGTCTGGTGCTGCTTTGAGTTGGTGTGTCCTGGTCTGTGAATCCCTACCTTGGAATTCTCCCATAACTTTGCATTAAAATTCCAGTTAGTTACTCTTAATATATGCCATACACATTTATTTTTATAATCATATTAATACATCGTTTAAAAAATAAAGTATAATTAATAAATGCAACCACGGTTCAAACAGCCTACACTGCGGAAAAATTTTGACTGTGGAGATAAATGTATTTATTAATGATGAGAAACATCCAATTTTGTCCTAATAAACCTAATGCTAAATTTAGCAGGCACTTAAATTGAGTGTTCTTTGTTAGCAAAGTGAGATCTTACAAATGTGTATTTTCAAATGTCTGTTTGAAATGTGTCCATTACCAGATGTCATAGGCATAATTAAAAATGTAATTTCTGTCACACAGTTCATCCCAGCTTTGTTACGTTACTTTCTGAAAGTGGAATTGTTGTCTTTTTCCTCCATTTCATTGTCACATTTTGGAACATTCTGTTCCCACCGTTATTAGGGGAAGCCTTGCTCAAAGAGACAATCGTGTCTTGACTCTTAAAAGTAGCACATCTCAGGTTCATCCAAGTCTCTGGTGGTAGGGAGTTCCATAGTCCATGAGCTCCTCTTTTAAGTCCTCTCAGCCAGAAAGCTGGCTGCCACTAGGTTTAGGACCTAGAAACTGCCATATTGAATTAAGCCAATGGTTCCTCTGGGTTAGTGTCCAGTCTCTAACAGTGTCCAGTACCAACTCCTTCAGAGTAAGATCCAGGAAACTTAATAACGATCAATTACGGAATAACCTGCCCATGGGAGAAGTGAATTCCTTTTCTCATGTTGTTAGTGGTTTACTTATGCCCTGAAGCATGAGGGTTTAAGTGCTATAAACTTAAACTTATGTTTTCATAAACATTTTTTATGTAATATAATCCATCCAATATGCATGTTTACAGGGAAATTTTCTAGTTTCTTTTTTCAGAGTTGTGATGCACATCGCAATATGGTCTCTAAAATTACTCTGTAAAGTACACACGGGTACCGTTGTTGCCTAACACACCTTGTTTTTCTCTCTCGTAATAAATCTGTAACCCCATTAAAAATGGGAAACTGTTCCACAACTAGGGTGGGGGAAAGTAGCTTTTGTCTACTGCACTACATTACTTTTTGGGATTTGTTTGTTTGTAGGTTTTTTGTATGTTTGTTTATAATATGTGATCAAGGGGTTGTAGCTTTGATGAGCCATAACACTATGTAAATGTTAAGACTAATACTTATAGTTATGAATACAGACATGTGTAACTACAACTATGCTAATAAACTATGTAGCTTTGCTGTTGCATTCATGATCTCGGTTAGTGCTTATTCAGTAGCTTTTGCCATGACCAGCAAATTTCAATACAGATGACAATAACATGTAGCATTTACTATATAGCATTTTTCATCCCTAGATCTCAAAGTATGTTATGAAAGAAGTTATTTAGTATTAGTTTTGCAGATGGGAATGATGGGGTGCAGTGGGCTTATGTTAATTGCCCACAGTTAAACAGCTGGTCAGCAGTAGAGCTAAGAACAAATGCAATTTTCCTGACTCCCAATCCTGTGTTCTATTGAGTGGACCTGTTGTCTCCCAGTCCCCTTTGTCTCACAGGATAACCTTGTGGTGTCAAGACCAGCTCTATATGGTTATTTTTCTAGGGGCAAGTTCTAGGAATATGCAAATCCTATTTAAAAAACTTTGCCTAGTCACTTTTTTTAAAAAGCAGGGTTTTTTAGTACATTAGTATATGAAACTAATTTTCAGTTGATTTTCATAGTTGAACTGGGATCATCTACCAGTGTAATTTCCATAATGTCTTTTAATGTTACTTATTAAGTCAACAGTGGCTCAGGTGTGCAGACCATTTATTTTTAATTTTTGCATTTATAGATACTTCTTTCGTAGTGGCAATCCAGAGCATCCAGGAGATATTCTACTAAATACTACAGTGGAGGTTCTGCCTTTTAAGGTATGAATACATTAATATCTCTCCTTTCTATATTAGAGTAAAAGCAAAACTCCTAATTTCTAATGACATCATTGGGTTGGGAAAATTATGGGTGTCTCTTTTATTGGAATTGAAAACCTCTTATCTCATCACATTTATTCCTCTTTACTTTAAACAGACCTTATTTACAAAGAGCAGACTTTCATTCAGAAGAAGGCTTGGTAAAAGGAAGATAGGTAATCTGGAGGAGAACAGTCTTTATTCATCTATTTTTGTTTAGCTGCTGTTTTGTTTTGTTTTAAGAATTGGATTTTGGAGGAATTGGCTTCACTCCGCTTCCTCATTTTTCATCCACTGAGTGTCCAGCCTTAAAGATCCTGCATAAATCCAGCTAAGCAGATATCTTGGCATCTTAATTGTCAAGTTAATAGAACAGAGTGTGAAACGTTCTGTTCCTTCTACACAACCAACCTGGATTTTACCTCAAGATGGCAATGCAGTGAATAAAGACCATTCCAGTCTGATGTCAGACTCTAACCACTGTACCTAAAGGAGAATCTTTAGTCTTTTTCACCACAAAAATTTCTATTCCAATAGCAAAGACATTACTTCAAAAAGAGGGTTATTTCAGTCAGTATGAAAAGAGTAATCTAAAGTATTTGTGTCCAATTTCATTGCAGTTGATACACATCTGATGCAGATATTTTTAGCTGGAAGAACCCTGACCATTGTGTCTGGAAGATTAACATATGATGATTCAAAGTGATATCAGAGCAGTGATCTTGCTAGTATTCCACTCTCCCCTACTTTATTCCCACTGCATCCCCCACACAAATCCTACCTTCACTCATGAGATATTACTTCACAGTTTTAATCGAAACAAGACCCTCTTTCCTCTCCCCACTTCCTTGTGTTGTGAGAGGCCAAACTTATTGATGCTCATAGATATATTACAAGAGTGAAATTATAAAAAAAGAAATAACTGCTCAAAATGCAAAAATTATTTGGAAAGCTGCATAATTTCACAATAGAAATATCTTTAGCCAAATTCAGAACTGGCATAAAGAGGCGTTAAATGGAGTTGTACCCGAATTAGGCCTGAATTTGGCTCATCATATTTACATTCAACTGGGTAGAGTTAATTTGATTTAAGTTCACTAGTTTACCGTGGAGGTCAGCTGGAAAAGATAGGAAACATTTCAGACAGGAGCCAGGTAAAGAGTGGTGTATCTTGATATCCCTTTCTCCTAGTGTTTGATTCTTGTTGTTTCGTCAAGAAAATTTTTCTTTTAAAAAAATCCATATATTTATCATGTATACAATTCTAAACATCATTAAAATTATTAATTTTAATACAGTTTACATTTCATCATACTATTTTACATGTCTAAATAAAGCCCAAAGATGTATAGAAAGACAATTAGAAGCCTTTAAACGGGGTTAAAATACGTTGCCAACTCTTGTGATTTTTATCGTGAGTCTTGCCATATTCATTGTTTTTTTAAATCCTTAGTTTCTCAAGTCAAGCGATTACATGAAGGCATTAGCATTTTTAAAGGAAAACAAAAAATAAAGTAATTTTCTAGCCCTTCTGATTGCAGAGAAAACTTTGAAAAGTTTGAAAGCGATATATCTTGAATTTAGCAAAGCTTTTGATACAGTCTCCCACAGTATTCTTGCCAGCAAGGTAAAAAAGTATGGATTGGATGAATGAATTATAAGGTGGATAGAAAGCTGGCTAAATGGTTGGGCTCAACGGGTAGCAATCAAGGCTCAATGTCTAGTTGGCAGCCGGTATCAAGCAGAGTGCCCCAGGGGTCTGTCCTGGGGCCGGTTTTGTTCAGCATCTTCATTAATGATCTGGATGATGGGATGGATTGCACCCTCAGCAGGTTTGCGGATGACACTAAGCTGGGGGGAGAGGTAGATATGCTGGAGGGTAGGGATAAGATCCAGAGTGACCTAGACAAATTGGAGGATTGGGCCAAAAGAAATCTGATGAGGTTCAACAAGGACAAGTGCAGAGTCCTGCACTTAGGGCAGAAGAATCCCATGCACTGCTACAGGCTGGGAACCGACTGGCTAAGCAGCAGTTCTGCAGAAAAGGACCTCGGAAATTACAGTGGATGAGAAGCTGGCTATGAGTCGACAATGTGCCCTTGTTGCAAGAAGGCTAACGGTATATTAGGCTACATTAGTAGGAACGTTACCAGCAGATCGAGGGAAGTGATTATTCCCCTCTATTTGGCACTGGTGAGGCCACATCTGGAGTATTGCATCCAGTTTTGGGCCTCCCACTACAGAAAGGATTTGGACAAATTGGAGAGAGTCCAGCAGAGGGCAACGAAAATGATTAGGAGGATGGGGCACATGATTTATGAGGAGAGGCTGAGGGAACTGGGGCTTATTTAGTCTGCAGAAGAAAAGAGTGAGGTGGGATTTGATGGCAGCCTTCAACTACCTGAAGGGGCGTTCCAAAGAGGATGGAGCTAGGCTGTTCTCAGTGGTGGCAGATGACAGAACAAGGAGCAGTGGTCTTAAGTTGCAGTGCGGAAGGTCTAGGTTGGATATTAGGAAAAACTATTTCACTAGGTGGGTGGTGAAGCACTGGAATGGGTTGCCTAGGGAGGTGGTGAAATCTCCTTCCTTAGAGGTTTTTGAGGCCTGGCTTGACAAAGTCCTGGCTGGGATGATTTAGTTGGGGTTGGTCTTGCTCTGAGCAGGGGGTTGGACTAGATGACCACCTGAGGTTTCTTCCAACCCTAATCTTCTATGATTCTATGACCTGAGGACTTGTCTACATATGGATATCCAGAAAAATTAATCCAAATTAACTAAAGGTGTGAATTTGAAGGAGATTAGCTAAACCACATTCACTTCCAAAGTGAATTAAAATAAACCCAATTAAGGCCACTTTAATTCTGAATAACAGTGTCCAAACAGTGATTTAATGTGCTTTAATTAAACCACTTCACCTTTAGATAATTTAGATTAATTTTCCTGGATGTCCCCATGTAAGATAGCTGTTGGTATACCATAAAGGCTCATAATATAAAAGGCAAAAAAAGAACTCAACATATATTTGAACTCATTATTTTTCAGATAAACTCCTAATTATTGAGGCCTGACATAGGATGTTTGAACACCTGAGTTTGGCAATACTGTAACTCTAAGCCAACAGTTTATAGACGCAACTGCTCTATTCAAAAATCCTCCATACAAGAAAGGAAAGATCATCCATAAACCGAATATATATTCCCCACTTCTCCAGGCATGTTATTCCTGCGTTCAGTTTTCCCTTTGCTTTGTTCTTGCCGAGGCAGGGTCAGTTTTGTCAATCATTGGGTAGGGACTGGTTCCCCATTCAAAAAAAAACCTGCAATTCAGTCTGCCTTCTGTGAGCAGAAACAGGCTGTTTCCAGACTTCCTGCTTCCCAAAAATAGAGAGCATAGGAAAAAAGCCTACTTAAAATTGCCAGTTTGGTTCTGAATATCATGCTCTTTTTTCCCCGTCATGTTTAATGATAAAGCTTTCAGGTTTTGTTTCTCAGGGCTTAGGCTAGGCTTGCTCAAAAGCATGCGTCAACAGCCTCACCCACAGGAGCTCGAGATATAGTAGCAAAACCCAAGAAGTAGCCTGGAACAAAGGGATCCTAAGATCATCTCCCCTTCAGCCTTGCCTGGCTGAGGGAGTTTTGCATCTTCTATACCCAGGAGCAGCCTTTGCTCTCCTGCTCTGGCTGCTAGCTATAACTACCAGCTCCCAGTGCTGGCCACCAGTAGGAACAGCTCCCCTGCTCTCAGCACAGTGCCACAGCACGAAGCATACACCCTACCAGCACTGAGGTAACAGCACTACAATGGCTGGTGGCCCTGCAGGAAGCAGACCCAGCTCAGGTGGCCCCAAGGATTTCCAGCTCTGTTTTGACCTGTGAACCACAGACTCCAGCAGGGCTGAATCCAAATTCAGTGGCTGATGCCGGACAGAAACTTAAAGCTGAGTTCAGTAAAAATCTTTCAAATCCCAGAATTCCTACAGGATGGATTGGCTCTAGGTCTTAAAGCAACACACTCCAAAAACCATTTTCAGCCATCTTTTTAGTAATAGAAGAAGCAAACCTTAATGGATTTCCTCTCATCCACCTATCAAGCATTTTTGATTAATCACCAGGAATTCCCCAGAGTAGAGCCTTTGGATTTAGATCATCTGACCCTGGATGAAATTACTAGACTGTTGTTCACATTCCTTTCTTCAGTTTCATTTTTCTATCTCTTTATTAAAGTGAGTTTACTAGTGTCCATCCCCTTTGTACATGGAGGCATTGTGCCTTTTCTAGAGGCATTGTGTATTGAAGAATCACAAATATTGTATTTTTCATATTGATCAGGTGGCTCTTCATCTCAAATATTTTTTTACCAAAAGTAAATTAGGAATTTCACAGATCCCAGGAGATAGTCCTCCCATCATTCTCTACAAAGCCTACGCATCCAAAAGAAAAGCTCCAGCAAATATTTTATTTCCACCAAGCTGTTAAGATCTACCTGGCAAGAATGTAAATGTATAGAAAAGTCATCCTGCAACAAGAGCCAAAAAAGAGCATCTAAAGCATTAATTGCTAGATAGCTGAAGTATTGCATTAAAGAAGCCTATGAAGCAGGCTTACAGGAAAGATAAAGCTCTTCAGACAAGGACATTATTTACTTCCTGGACTGGTAAATTTTTGTGTTGAATAAAGGCATTGGTAGGGCAGCAACAGTCACCTAATTAAGCATTCACCAGGGCGTAGGAGATGGACAGGGGCCTTGACAGATGCTGCCTTAGCAGGAGGGTTTTGCATACTGTGATACCTAAAAAGAAAAGGAGTACTTGTGGCACCTTAGAGACTAACCAATTTATTTGAATATAAGCTTTCATGAGCTACAGCTCACTTCATCGGATGCATACTGTGGAAAGTATAGAAGATTTTTTTTATACACACAAAGCATGAAAAAATGGGTGTGTATAAAACAAACCACTACAAAAGGTTTTCTCTCCCCGCACCCCACTCTCTCGCTGGCAATAGCCCATCCAAAGCGATCACTCTCCTTACAATGTGTATGATAATCAAGTTGGGCCATTTCCAGCACAAATCCAGGTTTTCTCCCCCCCCCCCCCCCAAACCCACTCTCCTGTTGGTAATAGCTTATCTAAAGTGATCACTCTCCTTACAATGTGTATGATGATCAAGGTGGGCCATTTCCAGCACAAATCCAGGGTTTAACACGAACGTCTGGGGGGGGGGGGAGGGGTAGGAAAAACAAGGGGAAATAGGTTACCTTGCATAATGACTTAACCACTCCCAGTCTCTATTCAAGCCTAAGTTAATTGTATCCAATTTGCAAATGAATTCCAATTCAACAGTCTCTCGCTGGAGTCTGGTTTTGAAGTTTTTTTGTTGTAATATTGCAACTTTCATGTCTGTAATCGCGTGACCAGAGAGATTGAAGTGTTCTCCGACTGGTTTATGAATGTTATAATTCTTGACATCTGATTTGTGTCCATTTATTCTTTTACGTAGAGATTGTCCAGTTTGCCCAATGTACATGGCAGAGGGGCATTGCTGGCACATGATGGCATATATCACATTGGTGGATGTGCAGGTGAACAAGCCTCTGATAGTGTGGCTGATGTTATTAGGCCCTGTGATGGGAGCACAGTTGGCAACGGGCTTTGTTGCAAGGATAGGTTCCTGGGTTAGTGGTTCTGTTGTGTGGTATGTGGTTGCTGGTGAGTATTTGCTTCAGGTTGGGGGAGGGCTGTCTGTAGGCAAGGACTGGCCTGTCTCCCAAGATTTGTGAGAGTGTTGAGTCATCCTTCAGGATAGGTTGTAGATCCTTAATAATGCGTTGGAGGGGTTTTAGTTGGGGGCTGAAGGTGACAGCTAGTGGCGTTCTGTTATTTTCTTTGTTAGGCCTGTCCTGTAGTAGGTGACTTCTGGGAACTCTTCTGGCTCTGTCAATCTGTTTCTTCACTTCCGCACGTGGTATTGTAGTTGTAAGAATGCTTGATAGAGATCTTGTAGGTGTTTGTCTCTGAGGGGTTGGAGCAAATGCGGTTGTATCGCAGAGCTTGGTTGTAGACAATGGATCGTGTGGTGTGGTCAGGGTGAAAGCTGCAGGCATGTAGGTAGGAATAGTGGTCAGTAGGTTTCTGGTATAGGGTGGTGTTTGTGACCATCGTTTATTAGCACTGTAGTGTCCAGGAAGTGGATCTCTTGTGTGGACTGGACCAGGCTGAGGTTGATGGTGGGATGGAAATTGTTGAAATCATGGTGGAATTCCTCAAGGGCTTCTTTTCCATGGGTCCAGAGGATGAAGATGTCATCAATATAGTGCAAGTAGAGTAGGGGCGTTAGGGGACGAGAGCTGAGGAAGCGTTGTTCTAAGTCAGCCATAAAAATGTTGGCATACTGTGGGGCCATGCAGGTACCCATAGCAGTGCTGCTGATTTGAAGGTATACATTGTCCCCAAATGTAAAATAGTTATGGGTAAGGACAAAGTCATAGAGTTCAGCCACCAGGTTTGCCGTGACATTATCGGGGATACTGTTCCTGATAGCTTGTAGTCTATCTTTGTGTGGAATGTTGGTGTAGAGGGCTTCTACATCCATAGTGGCCAGGATGGTGTTATCAGGAAGATCACCGATGGATTGTAGTTTCCTCAGGAAGTCAATGGTGTCTCGAAAGTAGCTGGGAGTGCTGGTAGCATAGGGCCTGAGGAGGGAGTCTACATAGCCAGACAATCCTGCTGTCAGGGTGCCAATGCCTGAGATGATGGGGCGCCCAGGATTTCCAGGTTTATGGATCTTGGGTAGTAGATAGAATATCCCAGGTCGGGGTTCCAGGAGTGTGTCTGTGCGGATTTGATCTTGTGCTTTTTCAGGGAGTTTCTTGAGCAAATGCTGTAGTTTCTTTTGGTAACTCTCAGTGGGATCAGAGGGTAATGGCTTGTAGAAAGTGGTGTTGGAGAGCTGCCGAGCAGCCTCTTGTTCATATTCCGACCTGTTCATGATGACAACATCACCTCCTTTGTCAGCCTTTTTGATTATGATGTCAGAGTTGTTTCTGAGGCTGTGGATGGCATTGTGTTCTGCATGGCTGAGGTTGTGGGGCAAGTGATGCTGCTTTTCCACAATTTCAGCCCGTGCACGTCGGCGGAAGCACTCTATGTAAAATTCCAGTCTGCTGTCTCGACCTTCAGGAGGAGTCCACCTAGAATCCTTCTTTTTGTAGTGTTGGTAGGGAGGTCTCTGTGGATTAGTATGTTGTTCAGAGGTGTGTTGGAAATATTCCTTGAGTCGGAGACGTCAAAAATAAGATTCTAGGTCACCACAGAACTGTATCATGTTCGTGGGGGTGGAGGGGCAGAAGGAGATGCCCCAAGATAGGACAGCTGCTTCTGCTGGGCTAAGAGTATAGTCGGGTTGAGGGAACCATCTCTGTGGCCCCTTGTGGCATGTAGTAGTTTAGAAAGTTTAGTGTCCTTTTTCTTTTGTAGAGAAGCAAAGTGTGTGTTGTAAATGGCTTGTCTAGTTTTAGTAAAGACCAGCCACGAGGAAGTTTGTGTGGAAGGTTGGTTTTTTATGAGACTATCCATTTTTGAGAGCTCATTCTTTATCTTTCCCTGTTTGCTGTAGAGATGTTGATCAGGCGGTTCCGCAGTTTCTTGGAGAGCATGTGGCACAAGCTGTCAGCATAGTCTGTGTGATATGTAGATTGTAATGGATTTTTTACCTTCAGTCCTTTTGGTACGATGTCCATCTGTTTGCATTTGGAAAGGAAGATGATGTCTGTCTGTATCTGTACAAGTTTTTTCATGCAGTTGATAGATTTCCACTCCATATGGCTAAATGCAGTGCCTTGCATAATGACAGGTTTCAGAGTAACAGCCGTGTTAGTCTGTATTCGCAAAAAGAAAAGGAATACTTGTGGCACCTTAGAGACTAACCAATTTATCTGAGCATAAGCTTTCGTGAGCTACAGCTCACTTCATCAGATGCATACTGTGGAAAGTATAGAAGATCTTTTTATACAGACAGTCTCTACGTAAAAGAATAAATGGACACAAATCAGATGTCAAGTATTATAACATTCATAAACCAGTCGGAGAACACTTCAATCTCTCTGGTCACGCGATTACGGACATGAAAGTTGTGATATTACAACAAAAAAACTTCAAAACCAGACTCCAGCGAGAGACTGTTGAATTGGAATTCATTTGCAAATTGGATACAATTAACTTAGGCTTGAATAGAGACTGGGAGTGGCTAAGTCATTATGCAAGGTAACCTATTTCCCCTTGGTTTTTTCCTACCCCTCCCCCCTTCCTCAGACGTTCGTGTTAAACCCTGGATTTGTGCTGGAAATGGCCCAACTTGATTATCATACACATTGTAAGGAGAGTGATTGCTTTGGATGGGCTATTGCCAGTGGGAGAGTGGGGTGGGGGGAGAGAAATCCTTTTGTAGCGGTAAACACCCATTTTTTCATGCTTTGTGTGTATAAAAAGATCTTCTACACTTTCCACAGTATGCATCCGATGAAGTGAGCTGTAGCTCACGAAAGCTTATGCTCAGATAAATTGGTTAGTCTCTAAGGTGCCACAAGTACTCCTTTTCTTTTTGCGAATACAGACTAACACGGCTGTTACTCTGAAACCTGTGATATCTAATAATATCTTAAAGTATCATTACTTCAGTAGTCTTGCTTGGGGCCTACCCTTGCTTGGGGCTTTCCCACTATAGGAATGGTGAACCTGGATAAGAATGAGAAAGTTGATAACTGCTAATAGCTTTTCTCCGAGTATCCGGGCACTATGTTCTGACCCACCTGTTAATTGGAAGTAAGTAAAAGTTGTTTGACGACAGATTGTTCTGTAGATTGTTAATTATTGTTCTAGTGTTACAAACTGAGTTGTGTTTAGCTTTGGAAGTATTCTCAGTTTGTAGAAAAAGCAGCCAGCCCCAGTGTGGTGGGTCATAGGTTTCTGATCCTGCCGCCTCAAACTGCAGATGAGAACAAAAACCAACTATAGGAATATGATAAGCCTGAATACTCAAGAGAAATCAGCAAGTATCCAATTTCTTTCTGAATACAGCAGGCAGATTCGCTAGTCCTATTTTAAGATTAAAGTGTGCTGTATGGTTTCATGAGTGTCCTTTGTGTGGGGAAGAGGTTTTTTAATCTTTCTCTCCCCAAATCAGCCATGGAGCAGGCTTTACCCCGAGGGTCTTTTCTGGTGTGTGTGCCAGTATCTGCAAATATCCTCGTCCTTTCAGCATATCAGTTCTTATGAGGGGGACTTTTCTTTTCTACCCTGAAGCCAAATACAGTCAGTTCTGGAACAGGTGTTTTGTTTTGTTTTAAGAAAAGTCTATGCTATAAATAACATCTGTTTGCTCATAGAAATAGTAGGCGGGTGCAAAGTTTTTAGGAAAGTGCTCTAAATAGAGAACGAGGGTACCCACATTTTGCTCTAGCTTGCAAATTTATTAGATACATTTAAATAAGTGCTCTCATTTTGTTTTGTGCCTGTTTCATTTTAGAATGAAGACTTGGTATTAAGCAAAGAAACCAAAGACAAACGCTTAGAGGACGGTTATTTCAGGATAGGTAATACTCTGCACCATAGAACAGCAATTTTCGTTCTTTTACAAACATGGAAATAAAATTTGTTTTATTACTATATCAATTAGTAAAATGTTATTTTTTTTAAAGCCTTTATGTGGTTCTGATCATTCTCATTGCGTAACTGATCTTGTAAATGTTACTTGCCCTTTTCAGGTTGATTTAATGAATGACGTTCTGATGTGATTCTTAGCTATCGTGGAAAAAAAATGATTTTATTCATCACTTTTTAAAGTATTCTAATTAGTTTTTAATTCATTTTTATTTTGGTCTGTTAATAGCCTTTATATCATATTTATTCATCCTGATATAATTGAAGTTTCTACCTGTAGGAATACCGATATCTGTACCTGCTTAATGTAGTTTGAATATATTTAAGTCAAAATTTAATAGTTGGTTGCTTAAAATTTGACCCCTGAATCCACAGTTAGTTTCCTAACCAAAAGTGCCCTGATTTTCAGAGGTGTTGAACACCCACAGCTACACTGAATTTAAGCTTTTTTATTCCTTATTAGTGCCTCTGCTGCTTAGTCTGTGTGCTGAGGCTATATGTACTGCAGTATTTGCCAATAAAAAACTGAAGCTTATGGCAAAGAGCTCTGAGCATTACGGAAGATTTTTGGGTCATGGTTTAAGGTTCCATCTTCCTACTATTAGACTTAAGCAAAAAAATAAAAAACCCTCAAAAACTTATTTATGGTGAATTACTGCAGCCAATTCATGACAGTAGCATTGCAAATCCATTTATTGAATAGATATTCACTAGTACTGTTGATTAATCACAGTTAACTCATACCATTAACTCAAAAAAAGTAATCACGATTAAAATAATGAATCGTGATTAATCGCAGTTTTAATAGCACTGTTAAGCAATAGAATACCAAATGAAATGTATTAAATATTTTGGATGTTTTTCTGTGTTTTCATATATATTTTATTCTGTGTTGTAATTGAAATCAAAGTGTACATTATTTTTTATTACAAAGATTTGCACTGTAAAAATGATAAAAGAAATAGTATTTTTCAATTCACCTCATACAAGTACTGTAGTGCAATCTGTTTGTTGTGAAAGTGCAGCTTACAAATGTAGATTTTTTTTTGCACTCAAAAACAAAACAATGTAAAACTTCAGAGCCTACAGGTCCACTCAATCCTACTTCTTGTTCAGCCAATTGCTAAGACCAATAAGTTTGTTTATATTTAAATGCTGCCCCCTTCTTATTTACAATGTCACCATAAAGTGAAAACAGGCATTCACATGGCACTTTTGTATCCAGCTTTGCAAGGTATTTACGTGCCAGATATGCTAAACATTTGGATGCCCCTTCATGCTTCGACCACCATTCCAGAGGACATGCTTCCATGCTGATGATGCTCGTGAAAAAATAATGCGTTCATAAAATTTGTGCCTGAACTCCTTGCGGGGGGAATTCTACGTCTCCTGTTCTGTTTTCCTCGCATTCTGCCATATATTTCATGTTATAGCAGTCTGATTATGACCCAGCACATGTTGTTCATTTTAAGAACGATTTGACAAAACGCAAAGAAGGCACCAGTGTGAGATTTCTAAAGGTAGCTACAGCACTCGACCCAAGGTTTAAGAATCTGAAGTGCCTTTCAAAATCTGAGAGGGATGAGGTGTAAAGCATGCTTTCAGAAGTCTTAAAAGAGCAACACTCTCATGCGGAAACTGCAGAACCCGAACCACCAAAAAAGAAAATCAACCCTCTGCTGGTGGCATCTGACTCAAATGATGAAAATGAGTCGGTCTGCACTGCTTTGGATTGTTACTGAGCAGAACCCGTCATTGGCATGGATGCATGTCCCCTGGAACGGTGGCTGAAGCATGAAGAGACATATGAATCTTTAGCGAATCTGGCACATAAATATCTTGCGATGCCGGCTACAACAGTGCCATGAGAAAGCCTTTTCTCACTTTCAGGTGACATTGTAAACAAGAAGCGAGCTGTATTATCTCCTGCAAATGTAAAGAAACTTATTTGTCTGAGTGATTGGCTGAACAATAAGTAGGACTGAGTGGACTTGCAGGCTCTAAAATTTTACATTGTTTTATTTTTGAATGCAGGTTTTTTTGTACATAATTCTACATTTGTAAGTTCAACTTTCATGTTAAAGAGATTGCACTACAGTACTTGGATTAGGTGAATTGAAAAATACTATTCCTTCGGATTTTTTACAGTGCAAATATTTGTAATCAAAAATAAATATAAAGTGAGCACTATACACTTTGTAATCTGTGTTGTAATTGAAATCAATATATCTGAAAATGTAGAAAACATCAAAAATATTTAAATAAATGGTATTCTATTGTTTAAAATTCGATTAATTGTGATTAATTTTTTAATTAATATTCCTAATAAGCCCTAATATTCACTTTCATTAGAAACCTTTCTACAAACCAGATCTTTTATTTGTTTGTCTGGAGATTGTTTATTCAGGATATGCTTTTGCTCATTTAAAGGTAAATTTGAAAGTGGTATAGCAGAAGGAACAGTTGACCCAAGTCTAAACCCTATTTTATCATTTCGGCTTTCGGTAATACAAAACTCAGCAGTCTGGGCAATTCTGAATGAGGTGAGATGTTGTATACTTTACCCCTTCCCTTTTAAAATCAGAATATCAAAGATGAGATGTCTCTTAATTGCATCAACATATTTGAAGCTAAGAATTTTTGGATTAATCAGAAAGCTGTTTCTCTTTTATAATTGTCTAAACATTAAGATTCACTGTAATGTACTAAAATGTGTTTTTTTTCTCAATTCTTCATTTTAGATTCACATTAAAAAAGTCACAACCTGATCAAAATTTCTTTGGAAGAAAAGAGAAAATCTTTTCAAACGTTTCCTATAATATCCTACATCTTTAACAGTCAAAAATTGAAAATACTGAGCATGCACCTTATTCCAGTTGTCTTTTATTTTTCACTCGAACTCTACCTCTTGTGAAATCTACTGTAGATAAGAAGATTGTAAGTAACCCTGCCTGTCATATCCATCCAGAAACTGATGCTCCACACTGATAACGTTCATCTGAGATCCAAGTTGTCGTCCATTTTTACATGACTTTACCATCTTATGGTTGCCGAAGCCTGCTACTCTTAACCCGTACTATTTTGATAGTATAGTAATACGGAGAAGTTGTACATATTCTTACATTTCTTGAAGATGAAAAAATATAATTAAATAAATTTTATGAAGGGGGGTACTCTCGGGGTTCCATTTATTTTGCTATAACAAAACCCTCTTTTATAGATTATCAGGATATATTTATATCTATATCTAGATACAGATATATAGATATAGATATATATTAAAAACATTAGGGATATTTAATTTATTAAAATTTGAAAAGTACATATTTTTATGCAGTAAAATTTTAAATGGATATAGGTTTTTTTATGGATTATCTAGCTTAAATTATCTTTCTACATTTTTCTTTGCAACTGCAAACAACATAAAAAATTAATACCATATTTCAGCTATCCTGCCATTCTAAGAAAACTAAATTGAGTTTCTAAATTAAGTACTTTTGTACCACAAAATCTGTAAGATATTGTTCAAAGCATAAGCATGCCTTAATTGCCAGAGTTCTGAAGAACATTATTCTTGGGGGCTACCATATTCCACTGATTACAGGGCATAGCCACATAAAAAGCATGTTGAAGTATCTTAATATTTCAGTATAACATAAGTGCTAAATCTGCAATGATTTTAAATTTAATCCATCACATTTTAGAGGGAGATTTCGATACCAAGCTATCACTTTTTAAAAACTTTGTAGACAGTTCTTAAACTGAATGAATTCATTCTCTGTGTAGAAGAGCATTCCCTATCTTTGTGCTGTAAATTTTGAATCTTGTCTCACATGTCCAGACATATATGAATTCTGTTCAGTACCTTGAATGACTACAATCCTACATGATATTTTTATCAGGAAAATAATAGTAATCAGACACTTCTAAGTAACCTCATTATAGGTCTCTCTTTAAATGTTTTTATTTCAGTATTTACCTTACTTAAATGTTGTAGTGGGTGATTTTTTTTTAAAGGGTGAGTCATGTCCAACTTCCATGGGAAATCAATGAAAAGACTTCCACTGATTTTAATAGAATCAGGCCCAAAGTCAGTTTCCTGCCTTTTGCGCTTCAAGGAAAAGAACAATGCTTGTTTAACTGATGAGCAGCCCAGACAGTGTGAGCTCTTTGTGCTGCTACAGCATTGTTCATACCATGTAATGCCATTTAACAGTTCATTAAAATCTAGTAATTTTTTCATCACATCTCAGCATAGATCTGAGAAATTATTTGGGTTTAGTTTTCCCCCAATTGTATCTGCGAATGATGCCAATAATTTAAATTATAGCTATTTATTAAATTATATCATTACTTAATTTTTGAGTCAGATATATGTTTCTGAACATAACAAGCAATGCCAACTGTTGTCTTATTGTTCCATGAAGTTAAAATGATTTATAATAAATTTACCAATACCATTGTTAGGTGCCTTTCCTCTGAGCAGTGTCTTCTTATGGGTTTATTCTGTCAGCCCAGCTGTTCCTAAAGCAACGTTCAACATATAAGAAACTCCTAACAACATCTCTAAATGTGTAGAAACTCACCCCAAACTGATCACATTTTTGTGTTGTTTTTTTGTTAGCTCTACCCTATATTTTTTTTGAAGAACTTTTTTCTAGAAGTCAAAATATTGAACTGAAATTTGTCAATTATCATCCATTACCTCCTTGATGATAAACTGATTTTTTTTAAAAGGATGAATTTATATTCTGTTTTGTTGGATCTTACTAGCAGGACCCAGAAATACCCTGGGACGCTATGACAGATTGCATTCTTAGTAAATGAATGTGCCACAACAGTAGAAGTGAATTTATTATAAATCATTTAGGGAGCAGGTTTTGTAGATTCAGACCTGATGTAATCAGGTATAATTCCATTGATTTCCTGAGAG